GACTGCCGGGGACCCCTCACTCGGCACGCAACCGCCACGAGAAAGAATCCAGAGGGAGGGGTGCAGCAGCATCGCGACGAGCTCAACGCGGTCCGCGTAAACCGTACGAAAAGGAGGGCACTTGAAAAGCGATTCCTTCCCCCGTGGAACCCGGGCTGCCAAACCTCCATTGAGTCATTATACAAATGTGAACAATTAAACCTGAATATATTTCGACTTAAATAAAACAATGGCGCTGGGAGTGTTTCTTTTTTCAAAATGGTCCTTTGCAGAGGATGCAAAGAAAGATCACAACAAGGGCAGCCTTTGAAGTGAGAGAGGAGAAAGGAAAGGGGGAACTTCCACCCTTGGCTTCTCAGGTGGTACCTGCCTCTAGAAGCCCCTGGAAATACTTACTGCTCCCCCTCCCCACAGCAAGTAAGTTCGTTATTGGGAAACTTTATTCCTGATCAACCTAGCTCAATTGACTGACCAAGAGTGCCCCGCCCAGTAGCAGGCATAATGCAGGAGGGGTGAGAATTGGTGGCCCCCTCCTTGGGCTTGTCATTCAAGCCGCAAAGCAGTCACTGGGTGGAAGACCTGCCAGTTCGTCATACAAAATTAGGAGCAAAGGCACCTCTCAAAAATGGTTCCTTTATTTTCAGGGGAGAGGGGGTAGAAAGGAAAAAGAGAGAGACCCAGGAGGGAGCCGACACAAACAGAAAGGCCTGAAGTACGGCATAACCGTTCCAAGCCGCAAGAGATATTCTTGCTGTTTTATTCGCAGGCCTCCCTGCTTCCTGCCCGTGTTTCTGGGGCCCTGTGAGTGGCGAAAGCCCCCGGCATGTCCCACAGGGCTCTGCACTCTCCTCAAGGCCATACGAAGCATCTCTTCCACATGCAGGATTGCAAAGGCCGTGTGCTTTTCCAGGTCTGTGCCACTGCCTGGGAAGTGGTTCCCACTTCTCTCCCTGTGCCTCTGTGCAGATCCCAGCTCTGCTGGGAAATCGGCTGGCAATGCACAGAATCAGAGACAGCTCGGGACAGCTTCCATGGCTCAAAAGCAGGGCCTTTGTGGGTGCTCCCAAGCACCTTTTCCGAGGATCCAAAAGCCCTGCTTAACAACCTGTGAAGTAGAGGGTTTTCTACAGAAACGTTTGGCGCTCCAGTGAATTGACAAAGATGAGATGTATGGCTGTAAGTAAGTTCCCTGACTAAATAAAAGTAGTCATCAATTTTAGCCAGTGTTTCTACCCATTACCGCTTTTCATCACCAGAAAAGTAGTAAATGCTGAAAACAACGTATTTAAAAACACCAATATTACACAGCCAGGGCCAGGACGCCAGGTAGAGCAAGGATTATGGGCCTTCAACCTTTATGGAAATAACTGCTTTGAGACGGGACTGGGAAGAAAAAAGCCCTCCGCCTTCCAGAGTGATGCTGAGAACTCCCCAGGCACAAGCTTTGTTCCTTGCTTAGGTATCTGCCTCAGAAACCCAGAGGAGGAAGGGAGCGCACAAACCGCCCAAGCAGGAAGCCAAGCGCTAAACAGTCACTCAGGGGAGATGGGTGGCAAATCAAATCAAATCAAATCAAATCAAATCAAATCAAATCAAATCAAATCAAATCAAATCTCCTCAGTGAAGGGCTCCCTGCCCAATGCCTCCCTTTGGGAGGGAGAGGGAGGTGAGACAATTGCTGGTGAGATTCCTTTAGGGCTGGGGCTCTGGGAGCAGAAGGGGCACAGAGGGAGGGTGAAGGTGGTGATGGCCAAAGGAAGATAAGGGGGGAGGCAGCGGATGGGCCGCTTCCAAGGAAAGAGGCTGGGCACCCAAGACTAGTTTCCCCAGCGGGGCTACAGGTTACCGGGTCCTTGGAGGCCTTGGTCTCTGGCTGCTGTTGTGCAATGCCAGGTCTGCCACAGCAAATCTTCCCTCATCCATGGCCTTACTGTGGATGAAAGGTGAACCTGGCTTGTATTAGCCAAACATGGATGGTTGAGGAGGGTGTGCACCCCCTTTGCAAATATGCACCCATCCTACTTTCGGGCTTGGCATCAGCTGAGAGCCCAAGGAAGGGGGAAGAGGGGTGGGCATTTCATCCAGGAAATTCTGCAGGTGACCAGAGACTTAATTTTGCAGATGCGAGGACTTGCTCTAGAAGCTGGGCTCCAGGGACAAGCTATACTGCCCCCCATCACCAAGGCTGCTTGACCCTGTCCTGGGCTGGCAGCAGGGTTTCCCATACTTACACTGCTGGGACTTTGACGTGCCTTCCTGGGGGGGAGGGGGGAGGTCTGAGCAGTCCACAGGCTCCACCTGAGTCAAGTCATTCCTACTCACATGGAGGCCTACATGTCACATCTGGGTTTTGTTTCTCAAAGCAAAAGTGGGGGCAGGAGGAGACATTGGAATCTGCCGCTTGTCACGATCAGATCCCGCCCTGACTACAGTGGAGGTGACTATGCTGGCAACTTCCACAAGGAACCTACTCAGTCGGGGCACCCCAGGTGCCCAATGGATCTATTTGGTTTCCACAGGGTTAGAAGGTAAGAGCCAAAAGAGATCTTGGAGGTCATCTCGTCTTCCCCCCACCCAGCAGTAAGCACACAAAGGGTCAGTGGAAGCTGCCAATCACCCAGTCCATCCAGCCTCAGTGTCCTCTGGACTTAACAGCAGACTTCCAAGTCTCCTTGCAACGACCACTTCCCTCCAGGGTCTCCACAGCTCCTGCCACCTTCCAGCTATATTCTGGTCCTGCAGGACCCAGCCATGTGGGAACCTGCCAGGAAGCACTGGACGGGAAAAGGGTTTCTTATGTAGCCGCAGGGCTCCTTCTGATGGCCATGAGAACCAGCAGAGGATAGTACCTGTGGCGTTGCATTGACGCAACAGAGACCCAAGTGACACGGACATGCTGGAGGCTTTTAGAGAATCACTATGTCTCAGACCAATCACGTGACCGTGGAGGATAAAAGGAAGGGAGAGCCTTGGATGCACTGCCCTGTTCCTAGCCCTGGGGCAGGACAGGCGTGCAGGAAATGGGAAAGAAACATCCCCTCTGAGCTCCATCATCTACGCAAAACTGTATGGGAGGGAGGGAGGGAGGGCGAGCATGATAGGTAGCAATTGGGACCCAATGCTGAGGAGGCAGAGTTAATATCTTCCTCCTCCTCATGTGTGCATGTAGATACGTAGACCAAATGGACATGGACCAACTTGCACTGCACCAGTGTGGTAGATTGGAGTCTATATCCTCGAGCGGATTATTTCCTATTCAATGGAAGATATGAATACTTCATTCTCCTCACATGCTGAGGTCTTCTTTAAAGTTTTCAGAACTACTGTAGCTTGCTGACGTGGAATCATTTTTCATCTTCAACAGTTCGTGCATTTTGCTTGTGAATTATGCTGAGCGGCACCAGTTCCAACTGCGATACATGTAGCTTGAATGACAGTTTAGACCTCTTGTAAGCATCTCCTCTTCCATTTCAACTTCTTGGCTGCAGATCTGTTTATAAGGTATTTTGCCAAATTCTATAGAAACGCAAAATACTGTCCACTGACTAACTTTAACTGTGTTCTTCTCCAATTCTTGTAAAATCTCAGTATTTGGGTTGCAAACGTTTCCTTGCTAGAAGCTGTGTTCTGTCGCGTGCATGGCTTTGCTGGAGCACGCGCCTGCTTCCCTGGCCTCTAGCTCTGCTTCGCCTCTCAAACTCTATGGGGATGATCTAGGAGGCAATCGGGGGTCCATTTTGCAGTCACACAGCAGCAGCTTTCACATCCAAGTCCCGACAATATTCTCCATCTGCCATCATCCAATTCTACAGACTTGACGGGTCAGCAACTTCTTCAGAGTCCCTGTGAAAAGCTGCCTGGGAACACTCTTTTGAGATTACCCAAAGATGCATTTAGCTGACCTTGGCCAATCAGGGCTGGATCTGGTTAGTACTTGGATAGGAGGCCACCAGAAAATCCCAGGGTTGTACACTAGACTGGGGATAAACGAAATAAAAGACCCAAACCTGCCACAAGTTAGGGCAGGCAAATCTTTCCTGTATCGCTGCCAAGAAAACAACACAGAGACAGAACACAAGAACTAAGTTTGAACTAAGGGAATCAATTCAACTCTTTTTAAGAGCTTCTCTATTATATAGTGCTGATCCTCAGGAAGGCCCCGGCCCCGGATGATCCTCTGCCGACACCGATGATCTGCAAGTTGACTTCTCAGTGAAGGACAAGCGGCGTATATGGAGAACTCAGAACGAGCCCATTATGGGACAACAGCTTGAACTGAATACAGCTGCAGCCATTAATAATAATACGTTGAAGCAAAACTGAACACTAAAGGTATTTAAGCACAACGTTCTCTCGAGAGAGCAAGGCGGCCGTCGGGTGGAGCACAAAACACAGGTCTCGAGGTCTCGCACGCTTTTTTATTGCAGAGGATGCT